GTTTCCCAATTAAAATATTTTGGTATCGGAGGAGCAACTCGCCTCCGGCCCAGATGGAACAACCCACTGGTTTCCAGCAGAGGCCCACGGCTGTAGACAGAGATGCTGGTTCTCATTCCGGCCACTTCACGCTTGCCCCAGTACACGCTAAATGTCAGCTCCTTATGAAGCTGACAGAGAAACATCATCTGCAAAAGCAGAGCTACAACTCTCAGGTTCACCCTCCTCACTCTGGCTCCACCTGGAGATCCCGTCCACAGAAACCATAACCAGGATCTGAGACGAGGTGCAACCTGAGGTCAGATCAGATAAGTTCTGGTTCTCTCAAGTTGGGTCAAATCCATGAAAACCAGCCCTTAGACGTTGTTGGCGTTGCTCTTTAGACACGCTGCTCCACTCAGCATTTCTACTACGTTGCCTGTAAAAGGCGACGACTCGTCTCTCATGCTGAGCTGTGAGCAGCACTGATGGGAGCACGGCTGACTCAGAGCTCAGGGTTCCCATCAACCCCTTCAAACTGGTTCCAGCCCCAACAGGGGGCAGTCAACGGATACCACAGGAGGGCAGAGAACGTCACACAGCAGGAATTATGGCTCCGGAACCTCTCTCAGGGTGGCATGGGGCTATTGCTGTAAAAGAGTGAACAACTCACATGAACACTTTGTGTGATTCTGCAGAGTTCCTCCAGAAACACCAGAGTGCATGAAGCTCCAGTAAAGAGTTCTAAAACGGGCTTCTGTGGATGAAGCCAGCAGGACTGATGTGTGGCTGTAGTCTGGTGGGAATAAGCAGCAACAGAAGGTTTTTTTTCCCCCTCAGAGCTCTGATTTTTACCAAACACCTACAAAACAGTATGAGGTTGATGGACAAGAAACAACAGGTTCAGCAAATTCTGGAAGCAAAGGTCGCGTGCAGCCGGACTCGTTTTCTCACCCGAGTGGTTGGCGGTGATGAAAAAGGCCACGGTCAGCTGGTGTCCTTAGTCATCCCTTTGTTTCAAACTGGCATGATGAAAATAGATGACAGGATTTGTCTACTCAGTTCAGTCCATTCAGTGTGTTCCACCTGCCAGAGGGACTCCAATGCAGGCCACAAAATCTAAAGTGTGAGATTAAAAGGACGACAGGCATTTCAGTCCTGTGAGGAGAAAACAGCTTTGTTCCATATTTCAGAAAACATCACCTCAGAGCACATGTTAATACAGCCACACCAACAAAAGATGAAACAAAAACAACATTTACACACACAGACACACACTGAATGTGTTCAACTGACCTCAGAACAGACACCTGATAGGATCACGTGGAGGGATAAAGATCAGGTGAGAGGGTTTGCCTTGTTACTCTACATATTTCATCGATTCTGTTTTTATAATGTGGCTTTCCTTTCCCTCTCTGTTTCTGTTTATTTTTTTCAATACCTTTAACTTTAATGTTCGGTGTGATTCACACAGCAGCCGTGGCCGTGCGTAATGGTGTGGTTTTTTCTGGACTGACTGGTTGAACAGGAAAGTGCTAAGAAAACAATTGAAGAAGGGTGTGTTGACATCACCACGGTCTAAGTGCGGCCGTGGTGATCCGGCCCGTGTACCTGTGCGCACTTTCACGGCGATGGAGAGAGACAGAGACCCGCATGAACAGGCCCAGGCGAGCGCGCAGCTTAGTGCAGCCTGTCCAATGAGTGCGTTTCTGTCCTGATGGAGTGTTTGATAAATGTTGTTTCATGCATTTTGCACATGTGGTGTCCTAATACTTCATCATAGTTTGTGTTTGTGCGTAAAGTTTGCCAACACATGCCCCCCTTTGTTTTTTTCATTGTTATTTCCCCCTTTACCTTGATTTCTTTTCTGACGTGTCACGTGTATCAGTGGTCTCATAGCTGTCAGGTGCAGTCTCAACAAGGTCACCTGGGACTCGTGAGGAAAGAACTGCATCTATTGGTGCAGCAGCGGTGCCAGCGCGATGTGAACCGTTTGTGCTGGAGTGCAGGTACACAGAGAAGCAGCAGCGTTGGGCTGCAGGAAGCAGAAGGAGCCTGAGGTGCTGTGCCTTTTACGGTCAATACCGCTAAAAAGAGCCACTCCCTTCTGTTGCTACCTGGAGTCTTCACAATTAGTCACAGCGACAGTCTGGAATGACTTTACGCACGGTTAGTTGCCTCCCTGTGGATATATTTTGGACATTTGAGGACACTTGCAGGTGGAAGCGACTCACAGGTAGGATATCAACACCTCAGTCTTAGGATGTCTGTAGGCTGTGTGGAGACAGTTTTTAAATTAGCAATATGTTTTAGGATTGCCATTTGAAACCAACAGACGATTCTAATTTGACGGTACAACAGTTTCACGGTTTCGACACGTGACTGTGATGCTTCAAGGAATTTACGAGACTGTTAAGATCATTTAGTCAAAAATGATTATTTATTTATTTATTTGTTTTTGCTAATTCTTGGACCCTTAACAGCTGGATTAGTTGAAAGGGATAGAATCAGCCACACACTGCTGTCAAGTGTGTTGTTTAATTGGATCTGTGTTAAACGTGGTACCAAACCTAAAACCTAAGACTGTGCGAGGAAACACCAAGAACATATTTTAGAGCATGACTGAAATACTTACAATGCACTGGGGCACCTGAACAAGTGTGATGGAAACGAATGTGTGGTAAATTAAGGAAGAAATGCAATTAAAACACACATGAAGTCTGCAGTTGGAGCCCACTCAGGGCCTTTTTATGTTCAGCAAAATGATCCAACTGCTCTGAACATTTGGTGTAACATAAGAATGTTGTTAACTTAGATTTCTGACAATAACTTCCAAGCAAAAGTGTGTGTGTCATAAAAAACAACACTGTCCTCCTGTATGTAGCTGGTGCTTGATGGTCAATATAATCCGGCTTTTATGAAAAAATATTTACAAAAAAACCTCTTTCATGTCAAAGTGAGTCTGATTTCTACACGATAAGTTCAGTTATTTGAAAAATCTATAAGTGATTGGATAAAATGTTTTAAGTGAAGCACCCAGTTCAACACAGGTCCATTAGTTTGAGTCACGCGATGAGGGAAGTGGAGATGGTGTGAGGCAGTGACGGTGGTTTGGCCTGATTGCAGCGGCCCATTACACCGCGGCGTTGGCCTGGTCCAGTGGAGGCTCTGTTGAATCAGCAGTAAGAAGCGTGTCCTGACGATTCTGTCAGTGGCACAGATTCTTGGCTGAATGTGTGATACCTGTTGAGCTGCACGTTACTAATCCTCCTGATCCAAGCCATTCAGGCACAGAGCACAATGCCTCCAACCCACACAACCTGCTGCTGCCATCAACACCCTGCCACACCTGATCCTGTTCTATGGCACTCATCCAGGTTGTTCTCTCCTGGTTCTCTACTACATCCTTGCTTGTGTTGCATCTGCTCTCAGATGGACTTGGAAACATGGAAATTGTAGAATTGTTGTTGCACACTTCATGCATGGCTGCCACCAGAGCCTCTGTGTGTTCAGGCAGCCACACAGGAAACACAAGGATGTGTCTGAATGTTTGGTTCTGGTTTGCTGACATTTCGTGCTGCTGCTATTGCAGGGCAACACAGAGTAGAAAACTGATTAGTCTATTGATATTTATCACTGAGAATATTTAATTAGTAAGCTAAAGTGACAGGCTGCATCGTGGGACAGGGTCAGACCTAAATGTATGAAGTTTAACGTCTTCCAGCTCTGAAGTGCAGCGTTCATGTTAGAAACAGGCGGCTGCTCTGTCGCTTCATCTGAACCACTTATCCTGCTGTGTTTATGTAGTTAAATGACGCTGCTGCCATTTGAAAAGCACGGAGCCTTTTGACTCCTGCACAGGTGTTTATAGTGACAAAATATTCCATTCAGTTTCATTTATATGGTATGAATTCACAACATATATATACATATATCTGTGTATATATGTTTATTTCTGTTGTATCGGCTCCAACATATTTCCAGCCCCACCTGTAGCTTTATGAAGTGGAAAAGGTGTGACGCACCTGTTCTCTTTATCTCAGAGCTGCCGTTTCATCCATGAACCTCAGGCTGTTCACGGAAAGAGTGTTCATGGTCTGCTGAAGCTGAACACCAGCGTGTGTCAACAATGGGGTAACTATGTTTATTTCAGTTTGATTGTTTGTTGGTGCACCGTGTGGTCGTACCTGCTCAGAAACATTCGGTCTTGCATTGTTGTTTGAACTAACGCTCACCGTCACATGTGCTCCATGCAGGTACATTCAGAAGACAAAGAGTGTTTTGAAATGCGTGCTGTGCTTCCCGATCATGCTCGGTGTTTTCTACTTCACCTCTCCGTCTCTAAGGTGAGCAGCAAAACAAGCCAGTGTTCAGTTTCAGGAGTCGTGTCGCTGCCCGGTGGCCAGTTTAAAGCAGTTTAATGCCACAGAATAAAACGCATCGTTGGTTCATTTTGCTCGTGATGTTGCGTTATGCTGCTGACTCTGTTCTTTGTCCCACCATCAGTGATGTTGGGTGAACAACAGACACACCTGTCTGTGGATCACATTACAGATCAGTGACACCACAGAGAAACAAAAAAACACTGAACATTAGAATCTGTATGTGCAGGACTTTTGAACTGGACAGTAAATGGATTGTACTTCTTATTTTTAACGTTGTGGCCTGTTTTTGATGCCAGACTTCTGATAGGTCTGATACCGATGGACAAGTGCTCTCTGGAGAGCGGGAAGATGCTGACTCTGGACAACAGCGTCGACGCCAGCCTGGACCTGCGGTAAGACCGTTAAGCTCTGTGTTTCCATGTGAACTGACATTTCAGTGAAACATCCAGCATCTTCCAGTGCAGCAAACTGAAAAGCTGCAAGTTCTCACGCAAACCAAAGCAACTAAAACCAGACAGGGAACACCTCGAGTGTTTTCTCTCCAGGTGGTCAAACCCAAGTGCTGTTTGCTCACTGATGACGAGTTTGTGTTCTTGGCTTCCCTCCAACTGCCTGTGGTCAGCGTAACGGGTAGAACCGCCATTTTGTTCCAGCAAAGTCACTTCCTTTCTAAACTGAATCTTTGAACTGCAGCACAATGGTAGAAAATCCAATAATTCAGTTGAGAAAACAAGCTGATGGCTGATCTGTGATGTAGGTTTGGGTGTCATGGTGGTTCAGATAGTTCTGATTCCATGTGCACTTCCTGTTGGTTTGAATCAGAGACAGGCTGAAGTGTGGAGCTGATAGTTCTGTGCAGGAAAAGTGAAACTATTGGCGTCAAAATTTTGAACAATACAAACTCCAACAGTTTGTTTAAAGGGTTCTCAGGGACCCTGTCATTCAACTACAAACAGCTAATGTGACTGTAGCTGAAGACATAGTCCAGGAGCAACAGGAGAGGCTGTTGATCCCTGAACACCACGAGTTCATGTCATGATGCAGGAACATCATGTAGAGCAGCAACATCCTGCTCCTCTCTGCAAGAACCTATCAAAGACAGCCTCAGGACACACTCCATCTGACAGTAGGTCATGTTCTGCTGCTCAGGATCTCAGTCAGCACATAAACAGGTAGGACGGCCCTACAGCTCACCCAGCTGAGTGGCGACCCATGAACAGGACGACAGTCCCTGATGCAGCGGTCGTGAGTTCGACTCCCGCTCAGCAGGTCTCTCCTCATTCTTCTCCCCCCTTTCCTGTCTATCTCTGTTCTCTACTGCTCTAAATAAAGGCAAAAAGACCCAATATATATA